TTTTACTGATTCGTGTTGCTCCTGATAAGTGTTGTACTTCTGTAAGTCTTTTATCCCATTTCATTTTTAAGGGTCGAAAGCAGCATTTGTCAAGGGGTTGTAAAATGTCAGTGGTATGTGCTGGTAGTTTTAAAATTGAAATTTTCTCACTTCGGGCTTTAGCTATGACATTCATGGACATGTGCGTCTTGTGGCCATCATAAATAATTAGCAGAGGACGAGTTTTCACTTGCTCACAAAAAATAATGAACCAACTGTCAAAAATGTCTGCAGTCATCCACCCAGTTTCACTAACAGCCAAAGTCAAATTTTTGTCAACTTTTGAAGTTTTCCATGTACTTTGCAGTTTTTTTCCGCTGAAGATTATGAGAGGAGGGTGTCTTTCTCCAACAGCATTGACGCATGCCATTACTGTCACTGCTTCCCTTCCGGAGGTTGCGGTTGCTCTTGCCAATTTTGATCCTTTTTCTCCGACAGCCTTTGTCTTAGATGGGTCTAAAAACATAGCTGTCTCATCCAAGTTATAAATATGTGAAGGCTTGTTCTTTATATTCAGAGAAGAAAGCTCTTTTTCAAGCAAATCATAAAATTCATAAATTATAAACGGGTTTGAAGAGGCCACAAATCTTGATCTTTCCAAAATACTTGGTTTTTTTGCTGACAAATTATGCTTATGCATAAATGAACTTATCCAGTCCTCTCCAGGCATATCATCTTTGAAGTGACAATATTTTTGCAAATGCACAGCTAATGCTGTTGTACCCTCCTTATTTTTTATTACAAAATCATAAACAATTACTTTAATTTCTTTTCGAGTTACAGGAAATCCCCATCGTGCCATACATTTTAGGCAAGCAGCCAACTCATTCTCATGTTCTGCAGGAATATAAGAAAGAGTTCCTACATGGGTTACTTTTGCTGGATTTTTTAATTTCATTAAGCGACAGTGTAAAGTGGAGTAAGGTATATCAACAGCTCTGGCAGCAGCTCTCACACTGAAATTTTCATTTTCAATCATTAAAAAACAATCATTAATTTTGCTTTCTAGAAGCTTAGTATCCTTTTTAGTCTTATAATTTCTCACCATATTTATTTAGCTAATTTATAAACTAAAAAAATATTCTAAAAATGTAATTAATAAAATTAAGATAGAAGTAAGTTAAGACAAATTAGAACACATTTGTCTTGCGTACAGTTAAAAACAAATTTTGTGGTTACAGTTGAAATATATTTTATAGTTGTTCCACTTAATAAATTTGAACTGTCATTTAAGTAAAGGCAATAATAAAGTCTAAAAATAATGAAAAATAATCGGTTGGCAAAAAAGCATGAATAAAATAAAATAAACACATAAAAAGATAAATTTTAAAAAAGCAGACGATAAAATTAGAATAACAATTTTTAAAACAACAGAGAGTTGTTGATATTTTGGAGAGTAGCTCTTAGTCTTTTAAGTTTATGGGATTTACTATATTTTATTGAAGGATTATTATTAACCCATTGCAGGTAATTTAATGTACTTGTGGTGTGAAATAAATGTTTTTTTAAAAATAAAACAAAGAATTGTTTCTTAATATAGCTTGATACGTTACACAATTATATTTATTAACTATTTTTTATACTATTTATAAGAAAAAATGACCATGATCAAGAATTACCCCAGTGATCAATAATTACCCCATCTGTAGGGGGCAACAATTGATATAGTTTCCTATAATTAATTATAATGTTTACAGTACATGTGAAGTAACTAATCAAAAGCTTACACTATTTTTATATAAAAGAAAAAGAAAGTAACTCAAAATATTTATTATTAAGAGAGGGAGGGGGATCTTTGCAGAAATGTGCACATTTTGAAACCCATCTTTGAAATGAAAAATACGGAAAGCAATTTAAAAGATATTTATTTTGTTAGATTAAACAAAAAACTATTATTAAATAAATGTAGTTATACTTTAGTAGAGTGTAAAGTAGAGAGTTTTTTTTTTTAAAATAAAACTTAGGTGATCATTATTTACCCCAGAAACAGAGTGATCGTGAATTACCCCGGGTCATCCTATAATCCCGATTATTTTCAATCACTTCTTGTTGTGATAATAAATAATCATAATTGCTTGTAATGAGAAATAATTATTTGTTACCGTGATTACTTAATTGTAATGATGATTACAATGTAGTCATTATTTTCTGTAATTAATTACATTAAAAAATGATTACCGTAATCGGCGCGAAAGTCGCAATAAAATGACATGATATTTTAGTTTTGCTTCCATTATTCAGAAAAGTTATTCATCAATCATTATTCAAAAATTTGCATAATGAATGATGACTAAATTTCCATGTGAATAATCTTTCAAAATAAATTTAGTCATGAATAAAACTTCCATGAATGATGCCTGTTTCGAATGGTAAGTTTTTGAATTAATATCAAAATTGGCTTACCTGAGATTTCTTCCTGCTATAAAAAATAATGTTAATTATCTGAAAAATAGGGATTCGATTTATATACCAAGAAATGGGACAATAACGTATGCTATTTTCATTCGATTTATTTTGATTTTTGAAGATGATTCCCATTACAGGAACAACATTGCTCGCCTCGATTCCAATGGCAAGCCAAACATAAACAGAAAATCTTTTTTAATGTTATTAATAAAAGTTAGTTTTTCATCAAAATTGAAAACAGCGCCATCTATCGGCGAAATGTTTTATGAACTAAACAATGCCCATCATCGTAATATATACTTAATTTAAAATATAACAGTCATATTTCTTATGTCTGAAAATGTTGGTAATTCCGGAACAGTTTCGAGTTTATGAATGATTTTTATTATTAATAATGATTAGATGTCATTAAAAGTCTTCTATACATGTCTTGAAAACATAGTCTATTGCTAATAATTTAACTTTATAAATAAGCAATTTTTCTTATTATTACAGTTTTAGGAATGAAAGAACAATATATATAGATAAGTGAGCTTTATATAAATACTTAAAAGTGATAATGTGTAGTATAATCGAACAGGGTGCTTTGTTTCTGTTTGTAAATTGATTACTTAATAACTCACAATATATTTAAATGCTGAGCTGTTTGAGGCAATAATAATACTGGGAATTCATATTAACTCGAAAAGAATTCTAAGGAAATATCCAATCATTTTTATAAAATAAAAAAAATCCTATATATTGTTTATGAATATAGACTAAAGGAAAACAATTGCTGTTTCTCTGCCGGTCTGACTGCTTTGCGATGAGGGTTAAAATTAATGTAATAGGCTGCAGTCCAAGTGCGAATGATATGAAATAAATAATAGTTCGTTTCAAAGTTATCTTATCTGTCCTCATTCTGTTATCGTATTTCAAATAATGTATTTTGATTTTGCTAGTGAGAATTCAGTTAAAATTAGGTCCTTTTAAAATGTGATAAATTATAGAAAGACTTTTAAGGGAAAAAAAACAAAAACAATTACTCTCTAATTGAACTGATAACAGTTCAATTAGAGTGTAATTGTTTTTTTTATCTATAAAGACGAAATACACATCGATTGCATTGTTACAGATTATTTTTAACTAATTTTATTTCTTATGCGCTTCATATATTATAAAATAGTTTTTTTTAATATATATTAACCTTCAACGCACCTGAGTCAAGCAGAATAGCAATTATCTGGTTCAAAATTAAATATTTTCTTCAAAATTTTTCAATCAAAATTCAAATTCAAAATTTTTTCTTTCGATTGTCAAGATTCTATATACTTCATAGGAAAGGATAATCGCAAACAGTCTTATTTTGAGAATTTTTAATGCTTCACAATTTGAATTTCAGAGAAGGATTAAGATATTCAAATAATTTATAAGCTTAATGCGTCATGTTTTTTTAAGCATTTTTTGTACCATTGAATGGGCATTAAAGTATAAAATCTTTCATAAAGAAAAAAAAAAGATTGATATCATAGTTTTTATTATATAATATTTATAACAATAAACAAAATTATTAAAGTAAAAGTAATTACAATCTTTTTCAAAAGTAATTCAACTTTTTTCACTAAAATGAACATCTTTTGTGCTCGTTTAAAATAAACTCGACACATACATACGTTAAAGAATTACTTCATTCAATGCAAACCTTATTTCAAATGCTTACTACCTGGTACAGTATTAGATATGGTTCTAAAGCCTCGCATGATAATTTTTGTTTTAAAAATTTCTTTTTATTTCAGATTGGTAAACAAATTCTCAAAACCAAAATAAATTCAGAAATAAACAAATAAAATAGATATTTTAATTTATCATAAAAAGTATTAAGAACAATGCTAACGTTTTATCAATATCTTTTATTCAAATATTATTGAATTGAACGATAATTTATGCAGAAATTGTAATTCTGTGAAACGCCGAAACAATCTTTCGAAACCGAAACTAATAACCAGTCCTTTTTTTATGAACCTAATTATTCTTAAAGTGAAAATCAATGATGCAGTTGCATCAAATCTATGATTTTCTATCCAAACTAACTCCTAAATGTAATTAAATGAACTACTTAGTATTCGCGATCGCAACGCTCGAGTACGCCCTCTATCGGGAGCCTGTAAATATCAGACATTAATTTATCACGTTTTCATNATGAGAAACATACATCATTTAAGAAGGAAAACAATCGCTGAGAGGGAGGGGATGATGGGTGACGTCATGAATACGTCATCACTAACCCTGTTGACCGCGCCCACTTATAAAACTCCCTGCAGGCACTCGCAGGGATCTCGCCAAATATTGGCAATAATTTTGGCGTAGATCACAATACCGAATTTTCCTGAACTGTAAAAAACACCTATAATTATTTTTACAAAAATACTTCAGCTCTATTTGTTTTGTTTCTGTAACTGCTAAAGTCTGCTTATATTACATAGATAGTTATAGAGTTGCCTTTTTGATGTTTATATAAAAAATTATTTTAAATTGATTAATAAATACTTTGAATTTTTGAAAGTAACTACTTATTTATTTTCCCAAACTGTTTAACCACTTGTGCTTTAAAAACTTAAAGAAGCACCATTCTCTTCTTCTTCAGCCCTTACCCTCAGTGAAAAATTAATGGTTTTATTTGTCTATTGTTAATTAAATTTTATATTAATTGTTTTTATTACAATGATTTTAATTCTTTAACAAAATTATTTTATAATGTATTACAATTTCATATTAAACCTGAAATTTTAATATGAAATTTATTTATTCTTGTATATTATAATGTTGATTAGGATTCATTATTTGATTATTTAATTATTCTCTTTTAGGAATGGACTTTAATTCTTGGATATTAAGATGAAATCTGAAGAAATATCTGATGTAATCCTCCCAGAAGAAACTAGCTTATATTCTCATCAAGTAGCAGGCCATGAATATGATGGAAATACCAAATTGGGTAACTATAAAATTTTTATTTATTTGTATTTGAACTTAAAAGAATGTAAATTTATTTTTGAAATAAGAATTTTTTTTCTAAAATTATATGCTTCATAGTTATACTTATCGATATAGATCATTGAAAAATAGAGCTTCACACAAAATATCGATGAGATATATTAAATATAAACAAAGATTTACGTTGAATTTTTTTTTTTTTGAGACGTGACATAAGCAGCACCAAAAACTAAATAAATAAAAATTTGCAAAAAGTCAGTAGTTAGAAAGGAATTGCCAAACATCTGATGCAGATGCACAACAAATCAGTTCATTTTATGCTTGATATTTGTCTTTATAGTTAATTTATAATGACAAAATCAAAAATTAAATGGTCAACCTTATTTTTCTATATTATTCTTGTTATCTATTTTAAATCCTCGGAAACTTAAATAGACAAGAGGGGGGTTAAAAAATTATTTATCTTTTTATAAAAAACTAGAATTAATGCTTCAGCTACAAAGCGCTTGCTATAATCACAAGGAAAATTAGTTGCAGTATTGCTATTGACTACCATTTCACAAATAAACTGGATTATACTTTTGGTAGTTTTGCTACTTTACTGCATTCATTGGCTTGAAATATCCATGTATCTCCCAGACATTAAATCTTGTTTATGTTAGATCAAACATAAGTTAATGTCTTATTGCTGTTGAGCTAATTGTGGACAATTTTTATGATTTTCTTTCCTATGCAATGCAAACTGCAGATCACAGATCAAAAGATAGATATGAACCTATTGCTAACTGCACTTTTTTTGTCATTTGTGATTAGGGCTTTAAATAATAATCCATGATATGATGTTTATGATATATTAAACCATGATACAGTAATTATGTTTGAACCTATTGCTAACTTCATTCTTTTTGTGATTTGGGCTTTAAATAAATACTAAGTCTTTAAGAGTGTTAGTGCATATGTGTAAAAAGCATTTGTAAATAACTTTGAAAAATATCGCAGCTTTTAAAATGCTATTTGAATTTTTCATTGTTGTTTATAACTGTCTGTTGTTCGTATGACTTAATTTCTTTCCGCTTTTTACAACAGGTGTCTTAAAGCACAAAAATGGAGCTATCATTAAACCAGTCATGGAAAATGGTCGATCTGAAAAGGAACTTTTATTTTACGAAAACGTTTTCTGTAACAAAGATTCTGATTCAATTCTATCAGAACTGAGTAACTATTTACCTAAATTCCTTGGTACCTGCCAGACTAGAATTAAAGACAAAGGTAACAAACATTTCATTTATAATTTTATTATTACAAAATGTCTGCTATTTTTTATTATTTTATGTGCTATGTTTAAAACTTATATTCTTTTTGTTTCTTTACTGTAGCACAAACTAGTTTTATTTTTTTAAAAAGGTGTGTTTGACAAGGAAAAACTTTGTATAAATTTTCCCATAGTTGAATTGTTCGGAGGGTTAAACCATTAGAGATACCTCTAATGGATTTGAGGCAGTGATATCTCTTATGGAATTCAAATTTATTAGCTGTGGGAAGCGGGATACTGGGTAGTGGGGTACTGGTCCTTAGTGTGTAAACGAAAATATATCTTGGAGTCTCATACTATTTTTTCAAGACAATTCACTAGTCCAGGATGTAATGTGGTGTAGCTCAATATTTTTTAATTGATTTTTCATGTACAGTAAATTTTATTAATTACTGACATGTTTGCACTATGTATATAAAAAATAGATCTTTGTTTGCATATTTTCCTCAAAAGGCACTAATTTTTTTTATTTTATTTGGTTTTTGGCACAACTAGAAAAGTTGGAAATGGCTGGATTTGAGAAATTTATCTTATTATTAAACGTTGCTTTGCTAAAAAAATTTCCTTTTTAACATATTTATTTCTTTAAATTTATCAATGGTAATAGGCTTCAAGTTTTGTGCAGAAAAAGATTTAGTCTGTACTTTTTTTTTTCTTTCCTCCAAGCCCCGAGCATGTACCTAGGTTATGAAAAATCCTTAACTATATAGCCCAGGACTTGGCCACTAGTCCAGATCACTCCAGCCTAGGAACAAGTACCTACTCTATTGCTGTGTGCTTTAATCTAGGAAATTTGTATTGATGTGTGTTGAAGTTCTTGTTGAATATCAAAAGAAATTCTATTATTTGTGCCAAAATCAAGTATTGATGATGTTGATGCTTTTGAGTCTGACCAGAGGATATAACTATCATTATTATTGAAGTTTTCAGTGCTCTTAATATATTTAATGCATTCAAGGATTGCCAACTGTTCGACTTGAAAGATTGAATTTCCCCTCTCTAATGTGTAAAGAACAAAAGAAAAAAAAATTTAGAACTATCTAATAATAAGGAGAAAAAATTATAATAAATTCCTTGAAACAAGAAAGAAGATGTTAGAAATCTGTTCTTAGTTATATGAAGTATATTTCCAATCGTTTGCCTGGTTTGCTAGCTGGTTGACGACGGTTAAAAAGTGGAATCTTAACTCTGAATGGATTGACGAAACTCCTACGATAAAATATTCATCAACACTCTGATTGTTGGTCGCGGCTTTTATCATTATATACCTATATCATTACACACGGCAAAACTTTTAGCCATTCATTATTCAGTGTGAGAGTAGTGCATAGCCACTAAAATTTCCTTACAATTTTACCTATGGGCTCACCACTTGGAGAGTTAGTTTATTTTTGTTCTGTAAATATTTTACTAAATTCATATGCAGTGCTGGATTACCCATTAGGCGTGGCTAGGCCATGGCCTGGAGCCCCCAATGATTAGGGGCCCCCTTAAAGTGGATTTTTTTAAAATATCGCAAGAGCAGAAAAAAAAAAAAGATTTTTGAATACCAATTTTATAGTAGCGTTGATTTTGTAAAGTGTTAATAAATTTCAAGTTCTTTAAAGACATATATTTTTGTTTCGAAACTTGCAACTTTGATATAAAGTTTTATGTGTTAAAAATTGCAATATAATTACAATTGGATTACTGGATTGGATTAAAAATTACTATATTATTTAAATTTGCTGATCATATGTCTTTAATCGTAACTGAAAAAATATCATGTATCATCAGGAATCATTGTAATTATATGGTGAATAATTTTATGAGAAGTTTAAAATGCATATTCCAATGTTTTATGACAAATTTGTCATGATTAATTAATATTTGATTATTCAGAATTTTTTTTTAAAAAAAACAAACAGCGCCACAGTTTTAAAAAGTTTTAATTATGCCTTTCAGAAAAGAAATTTCTGTGTTTGGAAGATGTTTGTGAAACTTTTTCAAAGCCTTCAATTCTAGATGTTAAAATTGGAAAAGTGACGTATGATCCTGAAGCCACTGGAACTAAAATTGAATACGAGAAAAGCAAATATTTGTACAGTGAGGTTTTAGGATTTCGAATTCTGGGAATGAAGGTAATAAAATAAAAAATTAAATGACATGTATGGCATTTTATGATTAATAGTTGGTTATTCTAAACATAAAGTAAGACTTATGAGAACATTTTGAAGATTATGAATCCTATTTAATATTTAGATCCAGTACATTTTAACACTAAAATGTTCCTTTGTATTGTTACCTGGTAACAGCATAATACACGTATAATATTATTGCCTATAAGGGAATAATACTTTTACCCAAAAGTTCTTACCTGCACAATTTGAAAATGTTGTTAATTTCATCATTATATCATCATTATAATTGTTAATCATTATATTTAAATAAGAGAAGGAACTGTTTCATCTTAAATATATTTTACATATCTTTTCCCTGTCAACTTTGAAAAAAATTAAATTTTTCTAGTTCATTAAATACTATTTTCTCCTAATAGTATATATTTAGAGTATAGATATCTAATAATTTGGATAAGATTTAGCTGTCTTTTTATGCTTGATGATATCATGTTTAAATTACTGACAAATTTAAGCTGAAATTTGAGAACCAACATTGGCTAAACATTACATTCAAAATTCATCTGTAGACATTAACTATGTCTTGAGTGTGTTAATTATTCAAAAAAAGTAATAGTTTTCAAGAATCAGTTTTACAAATAGNAAATGTACTTTTGTTTTGATTATTCCGTTTTAAATATCATTTCTTTTTGAAAAAAAAGATGCAAAATTTTTTTTTAATTAATAAAAATGACAGGGTAAATGTGCCTCCTTATTTGCATTACAATTTAAATTAAAATCAAATAACATAGCATATTTTCAGTGTTTGGTTGCTCACAAGCAACAATGAATGGTTTTTTGAGCAAAAAGAGAAAGGGGCGATATGTGTCAGCCAACCCCAAGAGGGGGGCGATGGTCCACAAAAGGTTGGGAACCACTGGTTTAGAGAATCGGCACAAGGATCAAAAAAGGGCATGCTTCATTGGACACTGTTTTTGTAAAACTGTCTGAATATTTATGCGGCAATGCTGTATCTTTGATTAAATAATAGATTCTTAAGCAACTAACAAGACTATAATAGAAAGCTTATCAGTTCAGCCTTAATTGTATTTCTTAATTTTCAATTTTACTTCTATGTATTAATCTTAAACTAATGTGAATACAAAAAAAGTATAGAAGTTGAAAATAAGATTTATTTTTAAAATTTAGATCTGATATTGATTACTTATACTTAGAAGTATAATTAAACAAAAGCTCAAACTTATTATAAATACACTACACTGCATTTCCCCCCCCCCCTTCTGCAAAATTACTTTTTTTTTGTGATCAGATCCAAAAACTAATGACCTAAAACTACTATGTTGTTAGACTTAGAAAATAAAAATAATTAAAAAAAAACGGTAAATAACTACAAAGTAAATTTTGCAAATATTTGACCATTTTTGCTTGCTTTTTAAAACGTATAACATGACTAAAGTATTATAAAATAGTGAATCACATAAGCCCACGAATTATTTAGAAATAGTGGTGGATAATAATCTACTAAATTGAATTTATTAAACCAAGAATCACAATTGATAAACTACCACTTTAAAATACATATTTGCTGTCCGGAGCAAGTTGGCATCTCTGGTTACATCGATATTTTGAGATACATCTATTTATTGCCAAGTCCTATATAGAATAATCATTTAAACTCTCTCCATACACCCTCAAGTACAGAACAATAAGATGTTAAAATTGGAAAAGTGACGTATGATCCTGAAGCCACTGGAACTAAAATTGAATACGAGAAAAGCAAATATTTGTACAGTGAGGTTTTAGGATTTCGAATTCTGGGAATGAAGGTAATAAAATAAAAATAAAAAATTAAATGACATGTATGGCATTTTATGATTAATAGTTGGTTATTCTAAACATAAAATAAAACTTATGAGAACATTTTGAAGATTATGAATCCTATTTAATATTTAGATCCAGTACATTTTAACACTAAAATGTTCCTTTGTATTGTTACCTGGTAACAGCATAATAATCATATAATATTATTGCCTATAAGGGAATAATACTTTTACCCAAAAGTTCTTACCTGCACAATTTGAAAATGTTGTTAATTTCATCATTATTTCATCATTATAATTGTTAATCATTATATTTAAATAAGAGAAGGAACTGTTTCATCTTAAATATATTTTACATATCTTTTCCCTGTCAACTTTGAAAAAAATTAAATTTTTCTAGTTCATTAAATACTATTTTCTCTTAATAGTATATATTTAGAGTAAAGATGTCTAATAATTTGGATAAGATTTAGCTGTCTTTTTATGCTTGATGATATCATGATTAAATTACTGGCAAATTTAAGCTGAAATTTGAGAACCAGCATTGGCTAAACATTACATTCAAAATTCATCTGTAGACATTAACTATGTCTTGAGTGTGTTAATTATTCAAAAAAAGTAATAGTTTTCAAGAATCAGTTTTACAAATAGTATTGAATTTCGTAAGCCTGTTTTAAATTAAAGAGTTCCTCTCTTTATTAGAAAAAATTATTGGAAGCAACTTTCTCTGTACAATTTTCACTCTTAAAACTCAAAAAGTTGGATTTAAAAAAATATAAAATTCAGCATATTTCTAAACAAATGTTTGATGAAAGTTCTGATGTGAAAATATTTGTAATTGAGTTGAAATTTTTTAAAATTTCGCATAACGTGTTGTTAAAATATAATTTAGACAAAATCAGTGTTTTCTGATTATGTTCTGATCTGAATTTATAACATTAACTGTTAAGTTATGAAATTTTTTAATGCATTCATAGGTACTATTTTTTTTTGTACTAAATTATAGTTGTGAAAAATATAACATAGTTTTTTGTGAAGTATATAATCACTCTTATAGTAGTATTATTTGTTAGATTTATAAATATTTTACTTCCAAATTATTATAAACAAATCTTATTTAAAACTATGAAATAAAATATTTTTATAGTTTATTATAAACTTAATATTTTTAAAAATTCTCATTCTAGATATATAACTATGATGAAGAAAAGTATGTGCATAAAGATAAAAAATTTGGAAAAGGAATTACTCCTGAAAATATGAAAAATGGTAAATTTTTACTTACATAAAAGTGTTATGTTTATGTATTCAACTTGTTTGTGCTGCATATTATAGTAACAAAAATTATTGACCTTTAAAAATTATTTTAAACATGCGAGGTGTGACAGTTAAAAAATTGAACCAATCTTAAAAATTAACTTTATTCAAAACATTTTACAAATATCTTTTAGTCTCCTTTAACATACTCTCCTTCGCTATCAATACATCTTTGCATATGAGTTTTCTACTGTTCCAAGCAGTGCTTCAAGTTATTATAGGTGTCACCTTCTTCAAAAAGTCTGCCGTTTTTGCCTTCACCTCTTCTACAGACTAAAAATGTGTTTTCTTCGATGCACATTTCACTTTTAGAAACAGGTGGAAGTCACATGGTGCAAGATCTGGTTGACTACTGTAGATGCTTGAGCACAGTAATGCATTTGTTTGCAGTTCACAGAGTTTGTCCACGGTTGTTTCACGGAGTGCATTGTGTGCCGGGTCGTTGTATTGGTGCAAAATTCATGTGTTGTTGCTCCACAAATGTGGTCTTTTTTTTTCTCACTCTTCATTTAATTTTGGGACCTCAATGTAGTACTGATGGTTTATCACATGGACTCGAAGCATTCATTCTATCATGATGATACCATTAATATCGAAAAAAATGATGAGCATGGCTTTCAGTTTGGAATTGCTGATTCAAACTTTTTTGGCCCTTGGTGATATGGGGTCTTCCAGTGCATGAACTGTCATTTAGTTTCAAGGTTGTACTAAAAAATACAAATTTCGTTACATGTGATTACTTTATTAATTAGTTCAGGATCGTCTGTGAAGCATTCCATGATGTTAGAGCTAATTCTTCTCTTCCTGTTCATTTTTTGCTCACATGTCTGGTTTTTTGGTGCAAGTCTTCTGTCAAAATTTTTCTTATTTTCTCTCTCAATGTTTATAATATATGACATCATTCTAAGACTCAAGCATTGGTTTTTGCGCACAATTTAATTAATTTTTTTAATGTTTTCTTCAGTTCACGGGCCGACCAGAACGTTCATCGCCTTTAACAACCTCGCGAAAATCGTTTGTGCTATTCAAAAATTTGACTATGTGATATGCAATTATATCTCCAAACACTTCCTTTAACAATTAAAAAATTCATTTAGATTCTTTTTCTTATTTTATTAGGAATTTTAAATGAATGCACTGCTCAATTTCTCCACTTCCCCACGCCAAGCCTAACGGCAAGGGCATGCACAGTCTGGTTACTTAATTATTACACCTTGTACGCAAGTTTTACAAGTTAGTAGGAAATAACTCAACTTCTTTATTTCTGTGCTATAAATTTTTTTTATTATTCAATAGATCAAAATTAACCCTTCTTTCTTAGATATAAGTGACCTGTTCCTCTTTTCTTAGAAATTTCAAAATGGTAGCTCAAGAAAAAGTGATGCTGTTTACAATATGGGACATTTATTGTAAACAGATGGGAAGTTTGTAATAAATAGTTTGCCAAAATGGTCAGCACTGAGGCAAACTCTCTACCCAAAACACAAATTGTGTCATCTGTAAACATTTAGAATATGTTCTTCAGTAGAGGTAATAACATTAGTGCTGTAATCAGCTCTGTAACTTTTCTGTGTTTTATATATGTTATGTGGGTAAATTGTTAAAATTATTAAAATTCTTTACCCTAAATTGTTTCTTTCGATCCTGTATTTAATCAATGATCATAATACTGTTTTGAGAATTTGTAATTTCATATTCAGAAAAATGTTGAAATTATAATATTAAAAAAATGCAATGACAAAATTAAAAAAATAATTTTAATATTTAAATTTATTTTCAACTCTCTAAGATTTAAGCCCAGCCTTTTCTGAAATTTTTGCTTCAAGCTTTCTTACATCTTGAAACCGGTTTGAGGTGCGCTACTTAGTGGGAAAGTAGAACATGGCCAAAAATTTCGTGTCAAGCTTGTCTAGGGCCTCAACTCTTGGAGGATTAAAAATAATGTTTAATTAATTGTAGGAAAACACTACGACAAAAAAGTTTTAAATAAATTTCCTATTCTCAGTGCACAAAAAATTTTGTATTGTTTGTTATATGACTGTTATGGATTACATTAAACATAGTATTTTAAATAGAATTTTGCAAGAAACTGAAATGTTTTTTAAAAGTTCTTACAAAAATGGAAACATGTAAATTTTTCTTCAATTGATTTTTATGTATCTAAATTTTTTTGTTGATATTAAGTTCGATTGAGATCAATACCTTTGACAGTAAAAATAACATTTTAGAATTGCTAGTACTAATGCATATTTTTCGTAACATTGTTAAAATTTATGGTTTTCATAATTTTGTAATAACTTTTTACAATGCAGTTTAGTATAATGTAAAAATAGAATATGTAATTTCACATTTGATTTTTTAAAATTATTTCCTATTATATTTACATAATGTTAGTTCTAATTCCTTTTTTTTAAAAATAATAATTTTATTTTTGTACTGCTGTTGTTTAAGTGCATGCTTTTACTTTTCCTTTTTCAATGTATTTAAATTAATTGTTAATTTTAAATTTAAAAGTAAACAGGAAAGCATTTGCTTTAATTTCTTCTTCATTACTGCTAAGAATATTCTTTTTTTTTCAGCTCTTGAATTATTCTTCACAAGCAATTTGTTTATTAATTGCTGTATTTTGAGTGGATTTCTACACAAACTTAATGAACTGGAAAATTGGTTCAAACATCAAAGGAAATTTGCTTTCTACTCAAGTTCGCTTCTATTTGTGTATGAGGGAATGTTTACTGCCTGGAACAAGTGGATTAAAACCAACCTTCATAACTTTTGTAGATTAGAATGCCAGGAAAAAGAATCTAGTGCCATTTCTGCAGAGTGCCTTAGAAACATATTCATTGATAATAATTCAAGTAATAATTTGAATTGCAATACATGCTTATTGCATAAAAGTATTTGCCATAAAATAATAAGTGACTGCAGTCTTATACGTGTTGCTATGATAGATTGTGCTCATGTTTTTCCTACTAGTACAGAAGATTCAAATTATGTATTTGGTCTTGAAAAACTAAAGCAATTCATACAGACAATTTTAAATGATCAAATTAAACTGCTTCCTAAAAACTAATATTTGTTATAAACAATAGTAGATTAAAACATAAAAAATAATGTAATTTCCTTTAAATTCTTTATATTTTAAAAGATAATGTTTGAGAAAATGTTTTAATTTTTGAAGCACTCCAAACACTGAGCTTACCTGACAAAAGTATTAGATACCCTTATAAAATCCTGAAAAGTCACATTTAATACCCTGTAATTACTCCTCTGAACTTGATAACTATCTGTATATAGTTAAAAAGTGAGTCTTAAAGGTTTTATAGGTAGGACCCATACTTTTTAAGCCTCTTCTTTGTTTGTGCAAATCCATCAAATTACAGAGATTCTGATTTTGGCATTTTATCTGCTGTTCTAACATGTCATAGAGATTTTCCATGGGGTTTAAATTAAGTAATTTTATTCGCGCAACAAAATATATTGAGGCATATTCATTAAAATCAGTCCTATATTCTTCCAGCGCACTAAAACTCTGATGTTATCATCTTGAGAAATTAAGTTATCAACAGCTCACCATTAAGAGAATGACTGAAAAGCTCGTCTGGTCATTCATAATGTTCATCTCATATTAAGAAAACATCCCAAAACAACAGAGATCCATTTCTGGTTTCAGGTGCATGGTTCATATTCTGTAGGAGTGACTTATTCTTTGTCTGGTATGCTTATGTCTTCCAGTAATATTTTCCAATAATTTCCTTGCTCTCTTCTCACTGTGAACTTTTTTTCTCATCTTTTTGTCGCTATGATGTTTAAAGTTCAGATATAACAAGTATTTCTGCTCAGAGAATTATTACAAATATATATATATTAATTTGTGATCTTAGTTTTAATTAGTATTCTCAAATGGTGTTCAATAGAATATCAATTATGACTTTATAAGGATCAGCTATGAAAAAGAAGCTGAAAAAACTATATAAACAGTTATGAAATTAATAATGATTATTTAAATAGTGTTAAAGTTTCAATATGTAAATATTTTTTGCCTATTTCAATGCATGTAAATTTCGTTTTTATTGTCCGTTCTTCTGATAATTTAATAATCAATCGAAAGCAATATGCTATAAAAATATACTCCATACTTTTCACACATTCCTTACTTAATATTAATATATTTAACTCTAGCAGGCAAAAATAATCGTGCTACTTTTGGTGCCACTACCACTTAGGATAGTGTTTGTCAGCAGTCCTGTTTATGCTAACTTAAATTTTCGTTTGTGGTAGCATATGATTAAAAAAAAGGCATAAATGCATACTTGAGTGCAATTATCAATAAATAATTGTGTAATCCTGGTACTTAATTTACTTATTTTTTTACTCAATTTCTTCATTTCCCAAAACGACCAGCCTATTTTGTATTTGTGCTATATATATATAGTATAATTGTTTAATTTTTATATTCCCAAATATAAACCTATTATCATGATATGAATAAGCAAAACCAAAATGTCATTTTTTCCTTAGAAATTTACTCTAAACTATGAGATATTTTTTACTATCTTTACTTAAATATTTTTAAATGCATGCAGTTTTAATTTTGTTGTTGTTTTACATACAAGTTTTATTTACTTGTTTTTATAGATATGGATTTTAATTTAGATCACAATTTATCATACAGCATTTTATTCTGAATATTGACTTCTATTATTTTGCAATTAATAACATGTTTCAGTCTCATTTCAGATTACAATAAGACAATAACAAAACAAAAAAATCTTTTTTTTAACATTTAGTGAAAGTTCATTTTGAAGAAAAAGCTTTTTTTTTTGCTCTATTCCCCTAATGCATTGATTCAATGTAGAACTCCAATAACTATTTGAGTGTTTGCATTATAGTCATTTAACTTGGTTTCTTTCTTGCATAACAAGCTAGTTCCTCTAATTATGCAAGAACTGTAGAGAGAAAAAATTCCTTGAAAGTTTGCTTGGAGAGTGTATGGATTGATAATTATGTTTCACTTTTGGACTATAGCAAAATTAATGGAGCACGACATTAAATCAATGCACCAGCTGTGTGCATCTCTTTGGCACCTAATTTATAAGATATAATAATAAATAAACCATGCTTTTTATAAAAACTTTAAATTTACTAATTTATGCATAAAGAAAATGCTTAGTAAGGTTTTTGAATACAATTTTTTTATAACAATAAACTATGCAACTTTCTTTTGAAAAAGTTTTCTTCAATCTTTTTGAAGATTTTCTGATTGCAGATCAGCTAAGTTAACCATTGAGCTTGGTTATTTAAAAATATGTATATCAGAAAGATGCAGTATACTCTGAAATTTATAATTTCAAATATTAATACAATTAATTTTTTTTTCTTTTCCCTATCTCTGTATTATTTCTCTACATATTTTAAATGTTTATTCTTAAAATATCCTCTTAAAAAGGATATTTTAAGGTTTAACAGTTTTTAAATATCTTAACTATGTATTTTGGTGCCAAAAATTTTACGCTGATTAAAAACAATTTTTAAAATTGAGATTATTTTTAAATATGTTTACTAGTCATAGCTAAGCATTTTTTAGATTCTAAATTTAATTTTAAATAAAAAAGTGGAAACAGAATGTTATGGAATTTATCAAATAGCAACTTTAATTTCCTCATTTTATTGGGTCATTAATTAATAAAAACCATAGAATATTAATGTAGCTGTAGACTTAATATCAAAAATTCTTCATGGAACAACTACTTATTCGTAGGAATTAAAGATTGAATTTTGATAAAACTTTTATTGAAAGGAAAGCAGTACATTAAAAGATAATCTGATTGTTTCCTGTATTGTGTAAAAAAAATTACAAGAGATTATTGTTAGGCATGAATGTAATGGAGTATTTCTGATTGTGATATCTTTTCTTGATAAAAAAAAGGTCTTCATTGTTTGATGTACTTATTAAAATGCTTTTTTTAGTGTATTATAGTTTTGTGGCATGTGTTTCTATTGTTATTTCATTCCAAACAATGTATAAATATTACTTATTTAATGAATGTTAAAATATGTGATATAGTTATCTAAGTAAAATAACAGGCCAAAACATGTTAGTCTAGTAATGTAAAAACCTGTAACCCCTTTCATAACTCAAATCTTTTTAATACTATTTACAATTGTTACATGGTTGTCAATACTTAATAAGTTCAATATATTTTTACATTAAAAAAATTATGTTTAATTTTGAGTGAGTGCATTTATTGTTTTTATCTCACAAAACAGATTTAGATCATATATCATCCCAATTTTTTTTTTTAAAAAAAAATCAGGTTTTCAGATTGATGGATACTAGCTTGTTTGGAAAGTAAAGGTAGTTGCTGACTTCAGTGAAATTTTTATTATGCGTGTGGTTTCAAAATTACAGACTCTTAACCACATGGCTAACAACTCACTGTATTCCAGAGTTTCTGCTATTGTCACATTTCTAGATTACAGAATTTGCTAAAATGGAGCAAGACATTTTTACTAAAGGATTTTACCAGCAATGTAAAATTCTTCAACAACAGTCTGTTGTGGACTAGAAGGTCAAGAAGATTGAAGACTTTGACTGTAGACATGATTGTAGAAATGTGGTCAGCAATGTACCTAAGTTACCAAATTCTATTTAACAAAAAAAATTGCAACAAGATTTATAATATCACACCTTCCTTAGAAAGCTTTATTGTTTCGATACACCTAGGCATAGAGAAATATTTACTGAAGGGAAAAAAAGGCAAATTCTGTGTCGCAAACAAATAATGATTTCATTATTTGTTTGTGACACATAATTGTATTTTTTAGCAATAAAAAAATATAAAAATTTACATTTTTCACCTGCAAAGATTTTGCTAATAACTTTTAAAACTTGTTTACAAATTAAAATTAAACACATCCAAGATTCTAGAATGGATTATAAACTCAGTGTAAACCCTATAAAATTCTTTAATTAAAAGGAAGGAAGTACATGTTTATTTATAAGAATATAATAATCAAACAATATAGAACAAACAATTCTTTTTGTCAGGTTATTTAAATATACAGTCAGACCTCGATATAAGGTCATCCGCATGTAAGGTCACTTTTCTGAAGTCCCGGCTCACTGAATAGGAATTCTTTGTTACAGATTATCGGATATATGGTCAAGTTTTAAAAATGATTATCGCTTATAAGGTCATTTTTATCTGAGGCGAGGGGAGCTCTTTTCTAACAAAAGCTATTTAACTTCCTTTCAAGACAATTAACCCTCTCGAGTTCTAGGAAAATGTTGCAGCCAACGAACAAGCTACAATATCTGAAATTGTTTCACAAGTTGTGGACAGTGAGGACAACGACAGTGATCCTTAGACTGTAGCTGTAACCCAATAGGAAGCTTTCAATGCAATGAATGTCATACGAAATTTCTTTACAAACCATGAGGGAGCTGAGGAACATTTTAAGGAGTTACAAAATCTAGAAAACATTGTTCGAAAAATGAAACCAAAAACGAGACAGACCTGCATAAATGATTATTTTAAATAAGGTAGGATGTAATGTATGCATGTACACTTTGAGGAAATTTGTAAACAGCTTTATTTTAAATTAAAATTTTTTTTACTAATCTAACTTTATTTAATTCTTTATTAATTCTGTTAAAATTTATTGACTTAAATATTTAATTTATGGCCGACCGTTTTTGTTTGTATTACAATTTTAAAAAAATTATAATGTGTACTATTTACGTGCTAAGTTACGAACTGCTAATGAATCGGTTAAAAGGTCACCCCGCTTATAAGGTCACTTTTGCGATGTCCCTTAGGGTGACCTTATATCGAGGTCTGACTGTATATACATTTCTAAAACAAACTCATCATAAAAGCTTAAATATTATTACTGTGCTTTTGCAGTTTGAAAAAACTGAACATGTTAAGTGATTTTTAAAATTCTATCATTTACAAGTATGTTATGGTCAGCTGTTGGCATAAAGTCTAATAAATCTAAATTTGTAAACAGCATTCTGATAATGTTTTTTCTAAAAATTTATCACTAAAATTAATAACTTTTATCTTATCGCTACAGTAATATTTTTTTTCTGAAATATAGAGAAAAAAAAAAGACATAAGTGAATATTTTACCACTATTGCAAATAAATAACACTCTAAGTATTTGACTTCTTAATTTGCTGAGAAAAATGAATACTTCTAGTACTAAACTCAGTGAAGCGACAGCACATGAAGAGCCAAGGCCTACTTTGCACATTCCAGAGACAATTTTCATTTTTGGCTTTGGGGTGAGAAGCATGCTGTACTTATTTTATTGACCCACCCATGCCCCTTTCAAAGATAGTGCTCTCAAGCCACAGCTCTGGGGTTCCAAGTGCTGACACTCAGTCACTAAGGGTTACATACTTTTTGTACCACACCACAAATCGATAAAGCACCAAGTATTTCATTTTTTAAAACAAAACCATCAAAAATTTCTATATAATGCGTACAGAAATGTGCATAATAGCACTATTTCTTAAAGCTATATTTATTTGAATACTTACACGCTAATTTCTCTCACGTCGTGCTTAAAACTGCAAGGCTATAGGGGTGGAATATAAAAATCACACATCCACCAAATGAATAGGCTAGAATATCAATAATAAAATAAGATTGTTTCCATTCATAAAGAAATCTAAAGGTTGTTAATTTTAATAAAAATGTGACTACTTTATTTTAACAAAATTTAAATAACAGTAAACATACTAGAAGTGAATGTTTCAAAATAAATAAATTTGACAGAAATGCTCTAATGATAGTCAAAAAACAAAAATATAATCTATACAAAAAAATAGACCCACTACATAAAATTCCAAGTAAATTTTAAAATATCTATTAAGTAAATATTATGTACAGTTTTCATAGATTGAGAGAGTTAATTTTGAAGACAATGCTAAACTTGACTATGTCATGTAATTCTTTTGGAGTTTGGAAAATCTTGATTTTTGAAACATGTTAATGCATGCAAGCTAACAGGTCTTTGCGTAGGTAAATTAAGGAGTCTAAGAAGTTTTGTCTTGATATCTAGTTTCTTGTTTGTTGCTTCATTACTGTCGGGTGTCATCTATAAAAAAACAGAAATTACTAAATTATATTTCATTTTATATAAAAAAGATGGAGACACACGTAATTATTTTTTTATTTCCTCATTTTTCTAAAAAAGAAATATCAATTTATCACTGAAGAAATTTCTTTTAATAAAATATTTTTGTTTCATAATATATGAAATTTTTTTTAAAAAATTGTTTACATATGCTTAACAAAGAACTCTTAATTTAGTAAAGAAAAATTGCAAATTGTTATAAAATTTCCTTCATATAATGCTTTGTTCATATAACGCTTTGAAAAATTAACTCTTGCTTATTAATTAATTTAACTAAAATTTTACTTCAAGAAGTCAGAGATAAAAGTATATATGTCTTCAGTTAGTTGAGTAATCAAATTCTTTACCAACAACTGTTATCATTTTGTAATGTGCCAAGCTAATTGGAAAAATCTTCAGTGTTTTCTAATCAGTCTGACACTTACTAGGCTATTGTAGTGACCCAACATTCCTTCAGGCTAATTAAAAAATATATTATTTGCTCAATTAGCTTGATTTATTACCGATTTTCTGAAATTGGGATAATTGAGCAAATGTTTTTTCTAAAGGGCCTTCTAGGGTCATTACATAAACCTAAAAAAAGTCAGACTGATTAGAAAACACTGAAGATTTTTTATATTAGCCTGGCACATTATGTTAAGGCTTATTATAAATAGCCCTATTTACAGTTTATTGCAATTCAGTCTGAGCAATTATTTACGAACTTCCTAATTGGCCTAAAGATAAATAGGTTGATTGTATTTTAACACTATTAAAACAAATGATAGTTCTTTAAAAACAACTGTCACTATTTTGCAATGTGCCAGGCTGATTGAAAATTTTGTTGGCATTTTTTAATCTGTTTGAAACTTTTTAAGCTTTTGTAGTGACCATGCATACCTTTAGGATAATTAGAAAATCTTTCATTTGCTCAATTAGCCTGATTTATATCAGAAAGTTTGCAATATCCCAGAGTAGTTAAGGCTTATTGCCAATAGCCATATTTAAGGTTTATTGTAAATCCACCTGATTACTTGTTCACATATTTCGAAATAAACATAAGATAATATAATATCCCTTTTTCTAAAAAAATTGTTTAAGTCAGTTGCAACAAGTCAGTCAACAGCAATGAAATAATTATAACTATTTTTTTTAATTTCTTAAAATAGCTGTCAAATAATTTGTTGCCCTCGTGGGAACTGGTTAAAATCAATACAAGATTGTTGAAATAAAAATTAATTTTGAAATTTAAAATAAATTAACTCTTTTTTTTTAAAAAAAAAAAAAGCTAACCTATTATGATGCATTTTTAAATCTCCTCAATAATATTTTTATGTAAATTATGAGAACTCTTTCAAATTTAAATAGGATAAATAATCAAGTTTGTACTAAAAACAAATCCAGTAAGTACAACTTAAAAACAATTTTAGATTATATTTTGTTGAATACAGAAATATAACTGATATGAAATACATTTTATACAGTTTTTCATTATCGCCTATTTTAAAAATACCTATCTTGCACTTATTTTAACAATAACGTTCAACAACTACACCAAAATAATAAATTTAATTAAAAAAATTGCCAAATAAAATTTTACTAAATTCTCAATGATAAGTATGAAAATATTACCTTATCACAAACATGTTTGTAAATTAAACCATCTACACCCACACTGAAAGTTGACAGGCCATCTATCCACCTAAAATACAATAATTAATATAGAATTAATAATGAGATCTAGTTTTTTTAATTCATTCATGTATAAGCATATTTCTTTGATCATGATAGCAAAAATCTTGTTCCTGTTAAGTCGTAGACAGCACAGATCAAATTTATAGAAAAATAATGGAATTTATTATCAAAACAACTTGACAGTTCTATAATTTTGTCATTTTTTTATGACAAAGTTTCAGTGGAAAAATTTTTAGAGGGTAAAAAGCACTATCAGTAACTGAGTGATCTAACAGAAGAATCAAAATTGAAATACAACAGGGTAAGCTTAATTTTTCATCTTATATTCTAATACTAGTATGAGAAATTGCACTATGAAAAAATTCACCATTTTAATATTTAAAGGTTTAAAATCATTTACCTTGATTTGCCAATAAGACTATGACCATGCAGAAAACCAAAAAAAGTTATTATTTTAATTAACTTTTATTAATTTACCCAATTATTTTAATAGGTTAAAGATCCAGTGTAATTTATCAAAAATTAACTATAATTTATTGAAAAATCGGCTTCCCAATCTTTTGATGGTGTATTCAAATTATGTAGAGGAAATATTTATTCAAATTAGAACATTTTATGTAATTTGAAATCCACCATTGAAAGAGTAATGGCCTGTTCTTCTGCTTTTTTCAAATTTCTCCGATGACTTCTGGCAAACAAATGGTCGTGTACCATTCAGAATTGACCGTCCTGTGTTGCTCTAACGCCACTGTTGCCACATGACCGTTAATGCCGAAGAAACAGGCAATCATTTGTTTCGATGTGCTTCTTCCTCGAACAACTTTTGTTGGATTTGCCTCGTCTTGGAAAACCCATACAGTTAATTGCTGTTTTGTTTCCGGCTCAGATCCATGATTCGTCACCTGTGTAGATGTTATACACAGCCTTTGATGTACCTTGAACGTATTTTTCCAACATTTCCTTGCACCAATCGACACGAGCCTTTTTTTGAGCGTTTGTCAGATTATGCGGGATCCAACGCGAACAAATTTTTTTTACGCTCAAATGTTCATGCAATATTTTATTGATGCTAGTCATACTAATGTCCAAAGACGCCTCTATCTCACGGTATGTCACATGACGATCTTGCTTTATCAGTTCACGCACAGCATCGATCTTTTCTGGCACAACAACGGATTTTGGACGACCTGCACGGGATTCGTCCTGGATCGAACATCGACCACGATTAAATTCGTTATACCAATTTTTTACAGTGCTGTAGGATGGCGCTTTATCGCTGAATAAAGAATTAAGTTCATCGAAGCACTCTTGTCTTGACAATCCACGTCGAAAGTTATGAAAAATAATGGCACGAAAATGTTCACGATTCAATTCCATTTTTTGAAAGAGAAGAACTTTTCAATTTACTGTCAACAACACAAATGAAGCTATAATGGTAAATCGTCTGCTGAATTTATGTTTAAAAATATCAAACTTTAGATTAAAATCGTCTGCGGTCGCCAAGCAACACTTAGTGTTGCCAAGGCCAGAAATATAAACAGCAACCCTCGTAAACATCTTTCAAAAGAGAAAGAAAAATCCTAAAATCTTATGAGGAAAAAAATATTTTGTTTTTTTCCTTAATGGCGGAAAAATGTATCGAATTTCGTTCCGGTTTTTTGGTTTTCTGCTTTCCGGATAACGGGTTCCGTACTGTATCTCGTGTGCCCTGAATAGGGCGGGTCGAGGTATAAATAAACAATATCAAACTAAGAAGAAAAAAAATTTTTTTTAAAACAATTTAGAACAGAAAGTGCCAATAAATTTACCACTAGTTAGATGTTTTACCACAAGATTGAAATGTTAGTTCACTAATCAATCCAAAATTTTATAAATTCTTATTTTCTTTAAAAATGTAATTAGTTTCAAAAAATGAAAAGGAAACAGGAAAAATGATATCATTAGAATTACATATTTTTCATAAATTGAAAAAATAGAAATAAATATTCTGAAATTATATAAAATAAAATAGATATCCTTTGCATTACACTTACTCAGTTTCTTCCTGAGGCACAGATAGTTTTTTCTGTTTCCAGAGGTTAACTAATAGCTGTTGTCGAGATACACCATTCACTCGCCACCTCACTCTGATAGCCCCATCTTCAATGTGATGAGTAATTTTCAAAATTTCTACTTTAACTTTGGCATAATGAATAAAGCCATAAAGCTTTAATATATACATAGCTTGGATATAGGCAGTTAAGCCCCTAAAAATAAATTTTTTTTTTTATTAAACAAGGTGAAAAGAACTAAGAACCATGTGGAAAACATGTTAAGTAGCATTTTGTTGTACATATTATGTTGTATATGTACATATTTTGTCATAGGTTAACTTATGCTATATTATAACTTTATATTGTTACAAACAGAAAACTAAATCTGCTTTAAAAATCTGTCTTATTATGGTTAATCAAAACTAATTTATCATAAACGATAATTTTATAAAATAATTTAGGATGAAACAGATAAATGAAATTAAAACTGCCAAAAAAAATTTCACAGGAACAGAGAATATCTTTATTTGAATTATCTTTTTAACAAGTAAATGGTCATTAGTCATTAATAGGAATGTATAACATTACTAAAAAAATTAATTTTGTAATTTTTTTCTTCATAATTTTAAATTTCATAAAAAGAATGATGACATTATAATGAAATTTAAGTTTTTTTAGTTTATAGTTCAAATGTAATACATATATTGCCATTAAAAACTGAAATTCGTTATTTCACAGAATAACTTGATATTTCATGAAATAATTAGACTTGTTAAAGTATGTAATATTATTGAATTCTACGATTTAACTAAGTATTCTATTAAATAACGATTACTTGATCATTAAAGTATGAAATATGGCACTCAAAAGTTCTTTGAACCAATTCTAGCTCAGTTACGAACCGCTTCATTGCGCTGCTGTTAGGCGTAGAATTTAGACAGTGTATTTATGTTAGCATTTTACATTATTAACAAATATTTTTCCTTATTATTTATCAACTAATCATCCGCAATAGGGATAAAATGTATTTGTTGAGAGATTTTAGCAATTCATGATCAATTAATTTATAAAATAACTTTAAAATTGTTTATTTCTCACTTTAACAATTTATTATTAGTTATTTCATTAGAATAACTAGATAAAGTATGAAATTTTTCATCTATTATAGTCTTTAACTGACTTGTCTAATTATTTCATCAAGTACAGTCCGCAAAAAAAAAAGATATCACCCTGAATAACTTTCGTTTTAATGATCGGATTTTCACGAACTAAGTGTCAATTAGTGTTAACTATTAATTAAGTTACGAAATCAGACACAAAAACATACTTTCCCTGAATAAACATATATTTTTTAAACATATTTGGATTCTTAATCTTCAAAATATAGGGGGTAGCCGCAATCTGGGAAATGTGGTCCCCATAGTTTGGGCAGGAGAGAGATTCAAAGTTTGGACAACTTAATGTTAATTTCACTTTTTGCGTTTTTGGTCATATTTTAAAAGCTAATTAAGCAATTCAAAAACAATTACATCCACTCATAAAACTCATTTACCCAAAGATAATTTCATGAAAAAAATAATTTTTTATAATTAATTAAATTGAGGATGAAAAATTTTTGAATTATAAGGTATGAATTTTTTTATACCATATTAATCTACATATTTTTCAATTGAAAAATCTAAAGTTTCAACTGTTTTTATTAATTAGGAGCTGAGAAAATATAAAATTAATTATTTTTAAAAAAATAATTTGGCGACAATGAAAAAATACTTAAATGGGGCAATTAATATTAAAATGTGATAAACCTGCGAGAAACTTGACTTCGCGAGCTTTGCGTAAAATTTCATTCATATTTTTTTTTGCTAATAATCGTTTGCTAATCTTTTTATTTTTAATTCCTTCAAACTATAAAATACGATGTTTCTTTTTTAGTCGTTCATTAATTTTTTTGCAATTTAGTAAAGAAATTTGAATAAAACATTTTGCATAAAAAACACCTTATTCAAGGAATGGCTAGTTTCATAAAAGCGTGCTTCTGATAGAATATGATTATACACCAGATTGTGCTTTTTTAATGTGATTATTTTTGATTTCTTGATTTTGTTTCTCAATAACTGATACAATTTCAATAATATACACGCTTATGCATAGATTTGGAATAATAAATATATATTTCATCAGTGTAGGATATACCGGTCAAATGTATACCGGGCTGTGGCACTTAACTAGACCAAGTATATATTTCGGACATTTACCAAAGGTCTAGTCATACTAGTTCTAGTTAATTGCCACTGCCGGTATACATTTGCCTGGTATACCAGACACTGATGTTTTTTTAAGGTCAAGTGTCACTGCCTGGTCTACATTTCCCCAGCATACCAGACACTGATGCCTTTTTAAGGTCAAGTGCCAATGCCCGGTATATCCTACACCGATGTTTTTTTAAGGTTCAGTGCCATTGCCCGATATATATTAGCCTGATACTCCAAACACTGATGTTTCTTCTAATCTATCGTCAGTAAGTATTAAAATATGTAAAGGACTAATAATGGTAGAAAACAGCTGTTGAAAGCCATCCAATATTTTTTAGCATGTTTTGTTCGCATGGTAGGTAATAACATGCGAACAAAACATGCTTAAAAATAAAAACCTAGAGTAAATACATTTTATAATAAAGTAAATGTATTTTAAATAAAGTAAATATATTTTATTCTGCCTAGTTTAAAAATACACAACAGGGGATTTATAATTTTATTAGGATGCCCAACTTCTAGTAGAAGGTTTTTCAAGAAACTAAACCTTTCCTTTCAAGTAAAGAAGTAATATCAGATGAGGATGACGTTACCAGTAATAGGCATTAATGAGATTCAGTTAATTAAATTACTTTTTTCTTGCTTTTTTAAACATATTTTCCTAGCTATCAGGTAGTATTAGACATTTATTTCCAATTTTTTTTCTAAAAAATACCAAACAAATACGCTATTTAGTGGATAACGAAGAATAATACTTAAATCTTGAAAAACATCCTGCTTTTACAACATGTAAAAGATTAGATATACACATTCCTATAGAAATAAATTCTCTTAGTTATAGTTTTTCTGTTTCAGTTGGAATTATTGCTTTGAGTACTTCTGGATTGTAACTCTATAATTTTTCTTTCAGACATGCAGTTTAACTTCAACAAGCTCGCTCCCAGCCAAAACATCTTGTACAATGCTTTTGACTACAACTCAATTATGATTTACGGCAACAAATCCTTCTCCAAGAATGGCCAAGACACTATGGTGGCCAAAAATGGACAGAGACTATCCGATCCTTACAATAAGCAAGGAATGACCAGGGCTGACATCGAAAGAGTCAATAAAATGTACAACTGTTAAAAGTTGATTTTAATAAAGTTTACAAACATTTAATTTTGTTTCATTTTTGCCTTCATTTTAGACCTCTGTATTTCAATTTAATTTTATTTATTTTAGCGCAACTTTATTATTGATGATTTTTAATAGCTTTAGATTTATTTTATTTTGAAAATTGGAAATTTTAGATAAATTGTGGCGTTTTACATGTGACTAATGCATATGATATTCGAGGTAAGCAGTGTTATTTGTGGCAAGCAAAATGCTCATCGTGACAAGCAAAATAANGGAACCATTAAGATTGACACTTAGTTCGTGAAAATCCGATCATTAGAACGAAAGTTATTCAGGGTGATTCGTTTTTTTTTTTGCGGACTGTACACAGTTATTCTATGAAATAATTGTATTACACACTTTAATGGTACCACATACATAATATATATCTTTGGTAATGTTATTTACAGTACTGAAAATACTTCAGATGAAAAAAAAAAAAATTGTAAAGGTGGGAACACAAAAAAAATTATAATTTAAAGTTCTAATTACAATAATATGATATTTCATTACATGCAGTAACAAATTTTGATTTCTGAATAAAGCTAACTTTAGAGGTCAATGAAAAATTTTAATTTTATGGTTTCTTATTTTTGTACATTTACAACGTTTTTGTAAAAATTTGTTTTATATTTCTACATCTAGATTTTCAATTCAGATTTATTTATATAAGTACAGTCGGACCTCTATTTAACGAAGTCGTTAAATCCTGATAATGAGTTCGTTATATGGAAAATTCGTTAAACAGAAAATCACTTTTGAAATACTTAACACCCCTGTGGCAGAATTTTTTCTGACTTTCTGCGACAAACCTAATTAGAACCAATATCTTTCTGCAAGATATTTTTATCGTTATAAATGTATGTGTAATGNTCGCCGTGTTTCTGCCACGGGGCTTAACACAAAACAGGCTTTAAATTCCTAAACAGTAGATATAATTGAAATAGCAATTGATACACCTTTATCTTGTAGACTAGTATCTACTATTTATTTTATAAATCTTAACCGCAAAAGAAATCTGCATGGTAAGCAAGAATAGAGCAAAACATTATCCAGTGTTACACTATCACGCTACATATATTTTCAATGAAAAAAAAAAGAAGCTAAATTTATGTATAAAGTTATACCTAGCTGCATTTATTTTAAAAGTAATTTTAAATACATTACCACATGGGTTCTTAAGTTTAATTGCTAATAAAATCTGTTAATTTTGTCTGAGTTTTTGGTTTGAAATGCAAACAAAAAGCGAAAAGTGGCTTCGAAAATTATTTCAAAGCCATTTCTCCTATAGAATGCGTTAACAAGTTTGAAATGCTTCGAAATATTTTGAGAAATAGGGAATGTGGATCTCAAAGAAAAGTTCGTTAAATAGAAAATTCACTTCGTTATTCAAAAGTTATTTTAAGAAGAAATTTCCAAAATGTTCTTGGTTCCTCAAAAAATTTCGCAAAATAGAGAAATTCGCAAAATGGAAGTTCCTTAAATAGAAGTCCGACTGTATATTTATTTATTTTAATACTTACTTGATGCATTCAAGTTAAAAAAACTTATAGTAAAAATGTAAAAATAAAATAAAAGTATGTCATTTATATATCTTATAGAATCTAAATACACCCAGTATATATACAATTGTAGCTTTAGGTTAATGTTGACTTCAACATAGAAAGTTTTAGGATTTGTGACCAGGTATCCAAAAACAACAGCAACCTGTTATTATTATTATGAATATATATATATTTTTTACATTAATTTTTTTAACCTTAAAATCGATTTCAATAAAGTTATATTACATTCTGTTTGAATAATTTAGTTGTACTTTTGACACTGTCCTGAAGCAATGAGATTACAAAATATTTTTTCATTCCATAGAATTTAAGCAATTAACAATAAAAAGGTGGAAAAACTCACTTAGTAGTAATTCCTCCTCTTAAGTTGTTTTGAAAAACTATGTTTTTGTGATATATGGAAAAATTTAGAGGTTTCTCAAAGAAGTTCATAAGCTGAAATAGAGAGCAGATATTAGATATCAAACACAATCAGATAATTCAGAATCTTTTGGGTGTGAAAAAAAAAAAGAGAAATTTCAAAATGAAATTAATTGGCTGAAATTTAAATCAAACATTAGGCAAAATAAATAAAGGTTTTTATTTCAAAAGTTATTCATAAATCAAAAACTGAAATTAAAATAATTTGTTTCATAAAATAGCAACCAATATTTTGTAAAATGATAATAGTTTATCAAGTAATATTACTGGTATCATTTATCAATGTATAGTATATTATATAAAATAGAAAGAACACATTTATTACAATTCTGTTCCCTACTCTGTATTTGGACTTGACATTCTTTCCTACTTGACTCCCTGATTACATACAACACAATAAATTTTTGTGCAGAATCAAAAACCAAATCTATATACCTGGATAACTTTTAAACTAATGATCAGATTTCATAATATAATATGTAATCTAATATGTTATAAAATGTAGACCATTGATACACAAATTACTTATAACAGACAATATTTCAATTAACAAAATCAAACACTAAATACCTTCCTAGATTATTAAAAAAAATTTAATAATGCAAAAATCTTTTTGATTATTAAATTAAATTAGAAAAATAAATATTTTCTAAAAATTACTTTTTATGGAAAATATTTTTTAAATGAACAGTTTTTGCAGTTATATGCAAAAAAATTTTTTAGTTTAATATAATAATTATAGTATAATTAATAGCAGCAAAATGGAAAAATGATGGAACAACTTTTTAATAATTTCTTACCTTAACTATTTCATTTTCTAGATTACAACTATCCCATAATTTGGGAGGTAAAAATTTTAAAAGTTATAAAGAGAAATGTTTATTTGAAGAAAGTGAAAAATATCTGCACTAATAATCAAACATATTTAAAGCCTTTCCTCAAACTCAGAAAATAGCATCTTAGTTAAATTAAATATCTGATCCTTAGATCAGAAGTTATCCTGGGGGTAAACTTTTTAAATAAAATGTTCAAGAGAGTAAGAAAAGTTTACTTACTGAGTAAGTTAAATGCTCTATCACATAAAGCAACTGCTCCTCAGTGGGTTTACCAGAATTATCACCATGATTTTTACTAGTCGAACACAACACAATCGAGTCTTCAAAACATTTAGGTTGCTCCACATAATTAAGTTCTGTGCTGTTATTGAAGTTGCCTGGAGTATAAACTGAAGTATGTATAGCTGTATCATTGTAAATTGAATCTGATAATTTGACATCGAAAGTGAAGGGTACCCTAGATATTACTTTTTTGAACTCTTCTTTCCTCAACAGTTCATCTAAATGGCATTCATTTGTTACTGAGATTAGTTTAAAATATCGATTTTCAATTATGTTAAAGTTTTCTTTTAAAAATGGTGAAAGGCAGAATGTTTCCTGAGCTGCTGTTAATTCATACTTGGGCTGGATACTACTTTGAGCGTTAAATTTTATGTCAGTACAAATAACTCTACAAACAGAATAAGATAGGGGTCTTGGAACCTAAAAATGGAAGAATTAAGAATAAATGTTAAAGCACATTTAGTCAAAAAAAAAAGCAAATGGAAGTTACTTTAAAAAAGCATTTAATAACAAATAACATTAATTGGCAACTATAATTATTTTGTTCTATGAAGAAAAATACAGAATTTAAATAATTAGCGATATAGAACCTCTATACCAGTGATTCTCAACCTTTTTTTTGTTGCAGCACACTTTTAACGATTTCGAAATTTGACGGCACACAATGAAAAAAATTAGATTAAAAGTTGTTTAATTACCTATTTTACACTATGTTAAATAGTTTGTGATAATAATTTTGAATGTGAAATAAAATAATATGCACTACAAAAGCACATTTTTTAAGGGATTAATTATTTCTTTCGACCAATTTTTTATTAGCTAGTAACAGTTATTATTTTTTTTTCTAGTTATTAATTGTTAGCTTGTTTTTTATGGTTATTAACTGTTAGTTTGTTTTTTTTACATTAATTGTTATTTTTTTGTGATTTCATGTTAACTAGTTTCTTTTTGCTAATTATTAATTGTTAGCTTAATTTTTGTTAGTTATCCTTCGTTAATTTGTTTTTTATATATTTGTTTTTTTAGTTATCCTTTGTTAATTTATTTATTAATTGCATAGCTTACTTTAATGATTAGCTCTTACAACATTTTTTAAAATTGTGTGTCATATACAATTTAAACACTTCCATCTTATTTTAAGATTGTCAGAGACAAGACAATCGCCGACAAAGATGTTCATGCGGTTAAAGCATGGAAAAATTATAAAATGTATATATATATACATATATATATACACTTTTCTTTAATTTAAACTTTACTCATAATAAAAAAAAGATTACTCACGTTATAATTTTTATTGTATCATTCCTAATATTTGGCGGCACATTTTAACGATTCGGCGGCACACAAAAGTGCCGCGGCACAGTGGTTGAGAATCACTGCTCTATACTTATAAAACATATACGTCTATGGTTGAGAACAAATTTGTAACATGTTTATGGCTTTTAAAGAGAATGTTTGCTTTTTAAAAATCAAAAACAAAGTTGAAAGCTAAATTGCTATTCTTCTAAATTTTAAAATACTAAATGTGAAAAATTGGCTTTCTTAGTAAATCACAACCGAAAAGCAGGTTTCATGCTAGATAAAATGAAACCCAATAAAAACTAACAGCAACAATTGATTAAAAGAACAATTTTGTAAAAATTGTTAATGGTAGTATATCATGAATAGTACCTATAGATATAGGAATTAAGGATATAAAACTTCATTTGTTTCAAAAAATATGAAGGTGGTAACTAATAAAAGTCAAGTAAATTTTTGGAAACAAATAAAGCTTTATAACTCCTAGTAGATTTTTCTGCTTCGGATTTTTGGGATTATAAATCATATAAACTATATATTCATTATGTTGAATTTCATGGAAATAAGAAAACCAAAAAAGAAAATAAACTTTTCGGTGAAGAATTTTTAGTGTTTTCCTTACCTAATTTGACATGATAGATGGAGTCATAAGTATTTCCAGAATAATAACTATTGATCTTTGGGATTTTTAAAATTTTTTATATAGAAATATTGTTGGTTTTTCTTAATTGGTTTCCTTACTGAATGGCAAAAAACATTGTTTCTCTCCATTTTTATGTCTATTTCAAAATTTTATATTTTACATTATTTTGAATAATTGATCCATTGTTTAGCTTTTAAAGACAATGATTAATCAGGGGTCTGTCTAGGTTTTTCTGAGAGGTACCTATTTTGTGAAAATTTAGACATAATTTGTGAAAAATTAAAAATTATACTAAAAAATCAACACAAAAATATGGATTTATCATTTCTTAAGGGATACAAAAATAAAAATTTAAGAGAAAGTATTTTGTGAAACTACCATTTTTCCTAAAATTGAATTTGTGAAACTACCGTTTTTCCTAAAGTTGAATTTGTGAAGGTACCGCTAAACGGTAGTAAATTCGGCCTGGACAGACCCCTGTTAATAAAAGTCAAAACAAGCATTGCAAAAGAACCAGATGTAAACATCAAAGATGAGTACACTATCTAAAATAAATCTTTAGGTGAACTCGTGATAAAGATTTCATATACCACATAACTTTCAAATTAAACTAATATGAGGTTTCTTCAGCAATAAAAATGCAGCCAAAATAAAATTTGAATAAAAATTTAAAAAAAAATTTTTTTTAGTGTAAAAATGTAAAAGCATTAGAGTTGTGAATTAATAATCCCAATAATATATTTAAATTAGCTTTTCAATTTGCAAATTTTTGTTTAATATCAATGTGAATATTGCATCTTGGTCCTATGTATAAAATAATCCTATTAATTGCAAATTTAAGTCCTTGGGTTCGAGTGGGTCTAACCCAGAGTTCTCCTTAGGAATAAAAAAGGGTATGGTGCTTCCTCACAGAAAAGGGCACTTACTACTCACTGTTAAAATTTATCAAAATGTACAATATAATGTAATAACTGAATTTAATCCTCAATTTAAAAATTACCCTCTTTTCCTATTTAATGTGTATATTTCACTAAGCAATTCTCTTTCAGTATCAAAATAACAGAAAAATTTGAAACTTCTGAAGAATAATTAAAGGCAAGCTTAAGGACAATCTCTGTGTATAATTTTTTTTTTTTTAAAGTAAACAAAAAAGCATTAATTGGTGATCAACTTGGAAAGTTTATAAATATATATATATAACTGAAAATTCTGAGAAAATAAACATTTAAAGGTGCATTTTTAAATAAAAGGTATTCGTTAAGAAAACAATTCGGTTGAGCCACCCTTCTAAAAAAAATTCTTAAGCCACACAAAGTGAAGTCAAACTTATCTCTAGTAAACATCGATTAAGTCTGATCCTTGTTAAAAATAATCTTAGAAGACAATTTTGTAGTAGGTTTAAAAACTGTGATAATTAATCTGAAAGAAAAACTTGTAATCATGGTTGCAATACATTTTTAAGTTAAACCAATTAAATTAATATTTTGTTGCTAGATCACACACTTATGAAATGCAGGGGGAAATACTTCATCGTGAATGAATTATCTTTAATTAATAATAATAATATACAATTCATCAAATGAACTTTACATGAATTATTTTTAATACTTCATTAGGCACAAATTCACAGGAAGCAAATCCAGAAATTATAGTCAGTACATTACATTCAAGATATAAATTTTGAGAAAAGTTGTGTCAGGATAAAATTTAAGTGAATACCTTCGACGAAAAGAAAAAAAAAGTATCCTACACACATATTAAAAATTTAAAAAAATATTATAAAAAATTACTTATTTTTTCCTCTACTTTTTCCGTCTTACCTGCTTTTTTTATCACATATTATAATATAGGCTATATTATAATACAGCCTACAAAATTTACAATTTGATTACATAACAAATTATAAACTTCACTAACGCATGAGATCAGTCTATTATCAATAAACAAAAATACTAACTATCATTCACATAATAATTGAAAGAAAAAAATTTGTGCGCACTGAAGGCAAGTAGTTAAGTTTTTTATAAAGGTCTTTTGATACTTTGTAAAAAAAAATATATCTATACCTCAACAGTTCTTGAGAGAAAAACATGAAAATTTGAAACAAATTTAGTATTTCTCATGCAATATAAAACACGTATGAAAGCAGAAGAACAACACTTCTGCATGATTATAATCACATGTAAAAGGATTCAAGCATTTATCAAGAAAATTCGAATTGCAAAAAGTTTTTGCAGAAAACAGAATGGAATAAAACGAAAACAAAAAACATTTTGTTACAGTTGCGATTAAAATTTTTTTATTATAGTTTCAAAAATTCTCAATAATTTTTATTCATAATTTAAAAATTATCATTTAATAATACGTCTTTAAGATTCAACTCGCAACTTTAAATTTTCACTTTATTATTTTATAAACACATTTTAAAAAAAGAGATAATTTTTATGTCACGGTTATAAGCATTAGTAACCGCACATTCTTTCATCCATGTTAGTTCTTTTTTAGGTGGAAATTTTTAATATTCTTTTACGATAAAATATCTATCTTTACTTGGCTTATCAAAAATTTGTTTGTCAAAATTGTTTCGACGTAATCTATTATTTTATTAAAATGTTTGCTTTATCTGTTATCTGCAATTGATGCCATTTTATGATTCATCATGGAAACCAATGGAATGAAACCCGTCACTTTCGATATTAGAAAAGAAAAGAGATTTCAAGCAAAGAAAAGGAAACTGGAAGCCCTCCTTAACCTTTTTCAAGAGGAAGACAAATCTCTAACCATATCAAATAAAAAGAAAACCTCTACCACTCTTCAAGAGGACTATAAAACTCTCAAAGACGAATTGAAAAAATATACAAGAAAACCAGACATGGAACCAGGCTTTTACCTTACAGATACTGGATATAAATCTCTGTTAAGATTAAAAGATAAAAAGCTGTCGAAAAATGTAAAGCCTTTATTTGTGAAAGATATCTATCAAGTTCTCCTTAAATCTGTTATTGGTCATATGTCACCTTATTCGAATATTAAATGGTCAAAATTAGAACAACCACAAAACATTGTTAAAACTGTCTTTTTAGTCATTGAAGGCCTTCCTAAAAAAGTTGTTCTACAGAATAGAACTTCTCTTTCAAACCTTACTGAAATTTTTCCCTTTGTATTTGATATTGCTTCTTCGAATTTACCGTTCCCTCAAGAGTTAACCACATTGCACAAAGTGACTCATTTTCACATAGAAAATGGAAATTCTTATTCTTCTATGTTCCCAAGTAAAAAGTCTGTTCAAGTTAAATCGGATGAGAATTTACAGAAACCTTCTAAAGTTCATTTGCTGCTCAGCCCAATTCAATTGGTAATGGAGAATTATCCTTTACCTAAAAGTGTGTTTGAATACTCTAAAAGTGATAATTATTCTTATTCAAAGGAGAAATATGTTCCGGTTACTGCTAACTCTCCACTGTTTGCCTTGGATTGTGAAATGTGTCGTACTGATAAGTCCAATTCTGAACTAACTCGAATTGCTGTAGTTAATGAAAATCATGAAGTTGTTTATCACTCATTAGTTAAACCAAAAGCCAAAATTATTGATTACTTAACTAAATTTAGTGGTATTACAAAAAGTATGTTAAGTGGTGTTAAAACTAGATTGGAAGATGTTCAAAGAGAACTAAGAGCTATTCTGCCATCAGATGCAATCCTTTGTGGCCAGTCTTTGAATTGTGATTTGCACGCGCTTAAAATGATTCATCCATATGTTATAGACACTAGCATAATATTTAATTGTAGTGGAATACGTCATAAAAAAGACTCATTGAAATATCTGTCAATGGTTCATCTAAATGAAAATATTCAGGGCAGTAAAATGGGTCACAGTCCAGTCGAAGATGCTTTGGCGACTATGAAATTGGTTCAGTTAAAACTGAATAACACTATTAGTTATGGTGATCTCTGCATTGGTGATGGTATTGCTTCGAATAATGTAGAAAAAGATATTGATATTAAGTTTTCAGGAGAAAGTAAACAATGTAATGAGGAAGAAAATGGAGTAGTAATTAGTGAGAAAACAGATGAGAATGAAAATAAAGAGCAACTTGGAATGTCTAATGAAAGTCAAAGTAGTTTCTTTGACTTGACCTCTAAATATGAGAAAAAAGTTTGCTTAATTGGCCCTGAACCAATCCTTAATTTTTATGGTGATAATTTGCCTGAGACAATAGACAAAAAAACAAAATTTCATAAAAATAAAATCATTAAAGAAACTTTAAATAATATGGATAACTTTAATCTAACAATAAGTCATGTTGAATTTAATACAAATGAAGAGTCTGATTGGATAAATGAATTAAATGAGCTTGTTAAACTTGTATTTGATAATTGCTCTGCTAGAACTATGTTCATGGTATTTATTTCTGGTAAAGATATGATAAATTTCCAAGATATTGTTAGTGGAATGTTTATGGCTACTGTGAAAAAGAGTTAAACATAATTTTTACCTTAAAATTGTTTCTTAATTGTTTGTCTTAGATTTATATTGAAAATCATGAACTTTATTGTCATAAATGTAGAATTATTTATGCCTTATTTGAATTTAAAAATACAGTGTTCTCCCTTAGTGTTTTTAGAAGGGCGGTTTGCCCTGCCGGCACTTTGATCCTTATAAATTCACCATCTTTGTCCTTTTTGTAAAAATAAGCCGCCCATCCATTAAAAACGCTGCCTTTTTATTTACATTCCAATTTTATAAAAGTTAATTCTCTGTTTTAATAATTACGCACTGTTAAATAATCTGTGTTTATGGGTTTAATTCTGATTACAATTACAAGTATTTACTTTGTTAGGATTATTTTCGACTCTAAATTTTTATACGAGTTTTTCAGGTGAAATATTAATAAATTTCTTCATTTTTAATAACTTGGTTTTTAAAAAGTAATGCAATTTTAAATCTTTATTTTCTCACAATTTTCAGTTTAAATTGCATTAAAATCTCTCAAGTTTATCAATAATTTTTTTAAAAAAATTGTGTCCAAATATTATCTATTAGCAGGCTTTAATTATTTTTATAAAATGTAAAATTTTCTCTTATTCTGATAATGAGAGAGAATTATGTTTTGAAATATACAACATATAAAATTGTATAAGAGGATAATTTAAAAATTGTTGAGGATCAAATTCAGTTATTATATAGTACTACACATTTTAATAAATTTTTACTGTTTCAAAATTTGTAGTGTCCATTTTTATTCCTAGGGAGAACTCTGAAAATATGTTTAAGAACTAGGTATAATTTGAAATATACTAAATTAATGACTGATTTTGTATTTGCATTTTCAGGTGTTTCTTTTCTTGGAATTGTTTTTTTTTATTTCTATATTTTTTTTATATCTACAAATAGCTTATAATAATTTCTCAACCACCATCTGTCATTGATTTATCTGGCTATTAATTTTAAAAAAATGTTCGAAATTAAAAGTTTTTATGGAGAGACACCGTGATCTNTAAATTTCTTCATTTTTAATAACTTTGTTTTTAAAAAGTAATGCAATTTTAAATCTTTATTTTCTCACAATTTTCAGTTTAAATTGCATTAAAATCTCTCAAGTTTATCAATAATTTTTTTAAAAAAATTGTGTCCAAATATTATCTATTAGCAGGCTTTAATTATTTTTATAAAATGTAAAATTATCTCTTATTCTGATAATGAGAGAGAATTATTTTTTGAAATATACAACATGTAAAATTGTATAAGGGTAATTTAAAAATTGTTGAGGATCAAATTCAGTTCTTATATAATATTACACATTTTAATAAATTTTTACTGTTTCAAAATTTATAGTGCTCTTTTTATTTCTAGGGAGAACTCTGAAAATATAATTAAGAACTATAATTTGAAATATACTAAATAAATGACAGATTTTGTATTTACATTTTCAGGTGTTTCTTTTCTTGAAATTGTTTTTTTTTTTTTATTTCTGTAATTTTTTTTATATTTAATTAATCAATAGTTCTTTTAATTTGGATAATTTAAAAATTTTTGAAAATCAAATTCAGTTATTATATAGTACTAAACATTTTAATAAATTTTTACTGTTTCAAAATTTGTAGTGTCCATTTTCATTCCTAGGGAGAACTCTGTAAATATGTTTAAGAACTAGGTATAATTTGAAATATATTAAATTAATGACTGATTTTGTATTTGCATTTTCAGGTGTTTCTTTTCTTGGAGTTGTTTTTTTATTTTTTTTTATTTCTATATATTTTTTTTATATCTACACATAGCTTATAATAATTTCACAACCACCATCTGTCATTGATTTATCTGGCTATTAATTTTAAAAAAAATGTTCGAAATTAATAGTTTTTATGGAGAGACACCCTGATCTATGGTAGAATAATTGCTAAGTCTTGGCAATTTCAGAGCAGTGACCTGCAAGAAAATAAAATAATAAAAACGCAGAAAGGGACCAACTCGAAGGGTATAACTTGTTGCCATCCATGAGCAAACATCTACATGTTTTTTTTTTTTAAAGTTTTTTTTCCATTTGAAATCAATTTGGCTATTTTTGTTTGTGTGGCAGATCACGATAAGAAAATATTCTTTACATAGGATATACTAAAAGTTAAATTTAATTATTGCTATCTAAATACACAAGTGGGTGACCTTGGTGCTAAAATGCAAAACTAAGGCAAACAACGTTAAAGAGCACAAAAATATTTATAAAAAAAATATATTATAAAAATATTAAAATTATTTTTATAAATATTTTTTCTGCTCTTTAACGTTGTATGCCTTAGTTTGGTATTGCTGTCTAATCTATAATGTACATTTAATTTGAATAAAAGTGGAAATTTGTTATAACAGATTAAACTGAATGTTTTCTTTTTACTGTGACAAATTCTCATCTAGTTATTAGACTATTTGAGACTTGCAAATTTTTTTTAATGTTATGGAACTAAATCAATTTTTTGAGCAAATTTTGAAAATAATATTAACAAATGAAAAAATTAGTTGATCTTGTAAAACTCTGTTTAAATCAATTATGTAAAGTGGTGGACAAAATGTATTAAAATGACTTTTCTTGCTTTCCTTAGTATTTTATTTTTTTTAGTTCAAACAATATTGTTTAATTATTGTAATTATAATAATTTATATATTATGTAATTATATGCATTAGTTAATCATAATAATTTTTTAAGTGCCTAAAATATTTTTAAAAAAGGTTTTAATTAGCCAGTATTAGCTATCGTTAAATAAATTTTTTAAGTTATGCTTTAAAATATCTTTGAAGTTAATTTCCTCATCTTACACCCCTGTATATTCCATTACAAAAAACAAGAAAAAAAAAACTTATAGAGATGCATTAATAAACAGTTAAGCAATGTTGAAAAAATATGTAAGTCTCAGTTTATTCATAGTATGTATTTTATTTTTTTCCATGGAAATAGTTACATTTTAAATGGGTGCCTACTTAAGTTAAGATTGAATAAATGTGGACTTAAATGACATAAGCTGTATTTTTGTAGGCTGCACCAAGAGTAAGCTTTTAATTGAATGTGGAAATAAACTTAGTTTCTAATGGGTGGTTTCAAATACTCCAGATATTGTAAGTTACAACATGCTATCTCAATTTGGAATACATTGCTCCCCTTAGTTTAATCATGAAAGCAGTAAAAAGTTAAGATGCCTTGATGTTAGTTTCACTTTATCTTCATCTTTTTAAGCCCCATTTAACACATTTGAAGACATTCCTATGCACTCTTAAAATAGGCACTTAATTGTAAAAATCTGTTGACTTGAACAAAAGTATTCAGGTTGATATCTATACAACTTACAAGAAATGTTTTGGAATAATTATATGTACCTTCAGATCGTGAAACCTGTATATCTAAAAAGACATGAAGACTATCTTATAACAAACATGCTACACCTAATAAGTTGCAGTTTATTGTCTGCTGACAAGAAAGGAAACTGTAAATGATTAGTTGAGTGATTTTTCTCTCATGGTTTTAAAGATATTTTTCATAGTCATAAGAGTATGTGTCTCTATTTTAAGTCTTAAATGTTTTGGAACTTCTAATATTTAAAAGTTTTTCATTCAAATAGTCTTTTTGTAAATGATGTTGCTGTTTTAAGAATTGTTCTATTCCTAAGAAATTTTCAGTATTAAATTCTTCTTAAGCCTTTAAATTTTTAAATATATATCCTTTTCCTTCTCAGCCTATTATATTCTAAATTTCTTCTTGGCTGACCAACATTGGCATCACTTGGGCCCAATTTTTAAGGGAGATACAATTAAAGTATGCACTCAATCCTAATTTCACAGATAAGAAAAAATTCTTAAATATGCTAAGTACCTACTAAAAGAGTAATTATTTTTTATTTTTTTCGTGTTTTTAATTTTAAGGAATTTAAACATGGGAATCGTGTTTGGTGGGTATATTACCTTTCCAATAGTTAGAAATCTCCAGAAGTCCCTTTCAATATTACTGACAAATAAAGAAAATTTTTGCATTTAGATTGTGAAGACAGATAGTATCAGAAAGATAAAGTTTTTTTTAAAAAAAAGGGAGGTTTAAAGAATTGCACAGTTTTTGCCAAATGTATGACATCAAACTTTCAAATGATTTTTCTTTACAGTTTCAATTAAGGTTTAAATCCCCTTAAAGTTAAAGAGATAAAAATCCACCATTCCTTTCCCCTGCTAACAATGACCATGCTGGTGAGATCTGGTTTGAGATATCTCCTCAATTAAGAAAGAAAAAATCTTTTCTAATGATAATTTTAGTTAAATTATCTACACCTGCTTAATGCTTATTTTTGTCATTTATAATTGTGCTAAGGTATTTAAAATGAAATCATTGCATGTTGTATGCAACAATGTTCCTCAGGGGGTTTGCTTCGTTGAAGTAAACACGGGAATCACGCTCCCGAGGTACCCCAGTGATATTCCCTCATCATTTTTCTTAAATTTCGGAATATGTAAATACAAAGTTTCTTAGGTTTTATCACGCTAAAAAAAGAAGCATTCTCTAAATAATTTGTGATTGCCTAAATTTATTCTTAGTGTCACAAATTCAGTTATTACAAGAGTGTTAGAATTTCAAGATCTTCTCAACAAGATAGCTATATCTGGCTCTTGTGCCAATAAACTTTAATTTACCGACTAATGACAAAATCTCTGAAAATTAAGGGTAAGAAGTAAAGAAATATTGAAAGTTTCCATAGCATATGGGAAATATTGTGTACCCTATTGTATTTAATATTTGAACGATTTCATTAGATAATTATGATAATATTTGAATACATGCCTAAATTATTCACAGGCACTAATTCAAGTCCTATTTAAATGTTGAAATTTCAGTGATGTAAAATCTATTTTTTAATTCTGTGTTAGAATACACAAAAAAATAATAAAATGAATCAGTTTAAACACAGCTTATATTTATTCTTCCTTATAAATATTTACAAAAAAAAGTTACAAGAGATCCTCCCTCTAGACCCTGCCAGTGCCCTATTTTTGGTCCGTAAACTGGGGCTAGGAGTTAGTTCCCCCTACAAAAGCATAAAAAATAAAATTCAAGTAAATAATACAATAAAATATTTGCAGAGAACTGAAAAATATCTATACTAAAAGTAATAAATTATATAGGATATTTAAAACACATATATACAAAGAATTATCTAAAAATTTGTATCCTAATTATACAAAGAAAAAAAATATTAAGAAGAGTAGCATTAGACTATATATTTGGTAAAAAATGAGAAAAATAAGCAGCAGTTAAGGTTTTAAGAAAACAATCATTCTGTGCAGGAAAAACTTCAATTACAACATAGCTGTTGTCATACGATGAAAATATAACAAAAATGCTCCTGTCAAATACATTCCCAGCTGGACCTGGCCATAATAAACATGCTAAGTTTCAAAACAGAAGACTTCGACATTTTGATCAGAGGAAAAGATGCATCTCTCTCTGTCTTCCATTTCCTGCCCAAGGAAAGTCGAAGCATTACCAGGAAAAACATCTGTTGCAGAGGCAACTTTCTTTTTCCAGTCAGGATTTTTATTCCTGCTATAAGGAAATAGCAAGAAGACCCAGTTATACGTTTCCTACGCTTACAAATCAAACTATTAGAACATTGCTTCTGTAATGCTATGTTTCGAACTTCTTGTTTTGTGAGGCATACTTTTTCCTGGAAAAATTTTGCTGTCACATCATCCTGATTTGGAATGCTAATGTTAGCTAAACTGCCAGAAAAAAACTTTCCAGGACAGCAATTTTCCTTCTCGGCTACTTTCACAAAACAAAGCAAAAGACGTAACATAAATAATTCATTGAAATTCAGGAATTTTTTAATTATCTACTTTCAGAATTTTATAAGGGATACTCATGGTAGCAATAGCTTAATTATGTAAATGTTTAAAATAAGAAAAGTATTTTATCGAAT